TGAGACACCAGGGACACTGGCTGGGAGACATGCGGACACTGTGACCCTAATAACGCAGTGTCCCCATATGTCTCAGTGTCCCCATGTGTCTCAGTGTACCCATGTGTGTCTGTTTCCTCATGTCTCAGTGTCCCCAAGAGTCCCCATGGGTGTCGTTGTCCCTAAGTGTCCCCATGTCTCCCAGGATCTCCTAGTGTCTCAGTGTACCCAGGTCTCAGTGTCCCCTAGTGTCTAAGTGACCCATGAATGTCTGTGTCCCCATGTATGTCTGTGTCCCCAAGTGTCTCAGCGTTCCCATAGATATTCCTGTGTCCCCATGACTCAAGGTGTCCCCATGTCTCCCTGCAGCCTTTACCCCATCCCTCACTTCCCTGAGCTGTGGACTGTCTCTGCAGGCCTGGAGCTGCTGTCTTTACTCTCTGTGGTGTGTAGCTGCTCTCCCATGGATCAGTGAGTAGAGAGATGCAGGTATATGCTGTAACTTCCAATCCCTGCCTCTCTCAACACATACAGCGACCCCTACTGGTTGTTGCTGGTATTGCAGAGTAATCTCTCTTTATACTGAGAAAAATACCAGCCTGCCCCACAGCACATTCAACATAAGCAGGTGTGTGTTGTGCCATGGGGCAGCGGGGCACTGGTCCCAGAGGGAACCTCACACACTCTAGCCATACTCGTTGGTTATCACAACTCTCACTTCCATTCCCAGCAGCCCCCCTGTCTAACTCTTGCGGCCTGCATGCCTGCGAACCATTTCCGCTCTGATGGCTGCTGGACTTGAGAGATTTAGACAGGGGGGCGAAGGGAGCTGCTGGGAAGGTCAGTGAGAGTGTGCAGCAAGCCCCCTCTGCAACAAACAGGTAGCCAGGGGGCCCGCAAGTACACATATATGTAGCAAAAATCGCTATATATGTGTACTTAGGCAATGTGGGGCTCAGAACTGCCAGAGCAGCCCGGGCCCCCCAGCACCGCCAGGCCCATGACAACTGTCATGGTTATCATGCCATGATGGCAGCCCTGCAGGCAACCTCTAACTTCACCAAACATGCAGAGAGAATGAATAGCAGACAGACAGAATATCTGTGCACATAAACAGTGAACAAACACCACACAACCTTCCACTAGGCACCAGGGAGGTCCTGAGGATGCCATCTGTGACCTGGGGTAAGTGCAGGTGATGCCATCTGGGTGCAGAGTAAGACTCATAAAACCTGTACCTGGGTTGCCATATGGGTGCATAGCATGTGCTGGGGATGCCACCTTGGTGCCTAATCAAGCTGCAAGGGATGCTATCAGAGTGCCTGAGCAAGTTGCTTATGCAGAGGGACGGCACAGATATGCTGGAGTCAGAGAGATGGCACGGAGCTGCTGGAGGCAGTGAAATGGCACAGAGAGACTGGGTGCAGAGATGACAAAGAGAGATTGGAGGCAGAAAGATGTCACAGAGAGACTGATGGCAGAGATATGGCACTGGCAGGTTGTTTGAGGGGACAGGCACATATGGAGGCAGGAGGCACATATGGCTCATTGGCATGATGCACAAATTTTATGAATGTGTTGCTCTTTGTTATAATATTCAGGGTTTATGCATTTACTGCTCATTGACATGATCTACCAAAATTAAATGTTTTCTGCTCTTTGGCATGATATGCGAAGTGTATATATTTACTGCTTATTGGCATGATTCACCAAGTTTATGTATTTGTTGCTCATTGTTATAATATACCACGTTTATGCATTGGTATAAATAAACAGTAAATGCATAAACGTGATCTTTTATGGCAATGAGCAATAAATACATTTTTGCATTTACTGCTCATTGACTTGTTATACAAGGGTTATGAATGTAATGCATCAATAGCATTCCATTGCTTGAAAATCCTTCAAACCTCCTTTTAGAGGAGATCTCCTTTATTGACTAGTGATAATGTGCATAGCACTTTGATTCTTTCTATTTAATTATCTTGTATGCCTTATTAACACATCTATTTTGTTTGTGTACTTGTGTCTATTGCTGATGTTAATGGGTGGTTTGGTAAAATTCTACTATGGGTTACTTAATTGTTTTTGCCCCCCAGGCCACAAGCTGGCAGCTCTCCCTTGGTCATAAGACTGCTCAAAGTGAAAGACTTACAAACAACATATAATGAGTGTAAAAAAATATTTGATCACCTACTGATTTTGAACGTTTGCCCACTGACAAAGAAATTATTAGTCTATAATTTTAATGGCAGGTGTATTTTAACAGTGAGAGACAGAATAACAAAAAAAATTGAGAAAAACGCAAGATGCATTAAATGCGTTACCCTTGTTTATCAAGTCAATGAGCAGTAAATGCAAAAATGTATTTATTGCTTATTGCCATAATATATCACGTTTATTCATTTACTGTTCATTTATGCCAATGAGCAGTAAATGCATAAACGTGGTATATTAACACAATGAGCAACAAATACATTAACTTAATATTTTAAAATAAATAATATTGAATAAATATATCCAGTAAGCCCTTAAGTGGAAGGTCCCAGGGTGGACTGGGATAACCATTAGTAATATGTTCCTGGAGCGCCCCAAACTTCCTGTCCGACATCCAGATTTTAGTAAGGTGTAATTCAGCCTTCAGGCACCCTTTCTCAGGCCTCATCTGGCCACAAACGCTACCAGTGGCCTGGTGGTAATTTACTGAACAAACTACACCACCTCCATCGGTCTATGTAACATCTCAGAAGCCCCCTCATCAAACTATAAGTATTGCAACACTCGGTAGCATCAGCCCCACATCCCAAATCATAGATAGAGCCTCTCACAGGTGCTTAGCACCTTGCAGGGCATTACCTTCCCCCCAGATAGTTAGTATTTTGCCACCTAGCATAAGTTAGTAGGCCAGTTCAACCCAGTGTCCTGGGTTCAAGGTTTCTCGTCTCAATTAACTCTGCCTACGTTCGGCCCACAAATATATAATAATTTGTACATGTATATGCTCCTAGGCTTGCTTTTAGGCCTTAGTGCCATTTAGTTATGTGAATACAAATACAAAAAAACAAGTCCTGCGCTCAAACTCCCATCACTCCTGGGCGGCAGCAAGAACCATAGTACATATCAGCCCCAATACATACAGTAAAAACAAAAGAAAAAAGTTTCCTGCTCTCTTCCCAAATCCCTATGCATATTTAAACAAATGGAGGTTATTTCGTTTCTCCAATGGCCATGAGAGACTTTAGCCCACCTGCCACGTAAAGGCAAACCCTTCAAGTGGGTCCTATGCTAACCTTTCACCTTGCTTCCTTAAGCTGCTCCATGAGCTTACATGCTAGAGGGAGTGGGGTTAAGTGACATAAAAGGTAAAGATAGTATTAGACTAATGACAGTTGCAAGAGAAGAATCAGTCGGGAGCTATTAACAGTTTAATTAATACGCTTTTATGAAGAAGGGGGTTTTTAATGATTTTTTGAAGGAGGGAAGACTGGGTGAGCATGTAACTGAGGAGGGAAGTGAGTTCCACAGGAACGGTGCAGCTCTGCAAAAGTCTTGAAGCCGAGCATCAGAGGTGGGAGTACGGACAGAAGATAGACGTAAGTCTACAGCAGAACGTAAGGGCCGAGACGGGACATACTTGTGTATTAGTGAGGATAGATAGGTGGGAGCAGCATTATGTAGAGATTTGAAAGCAAGAACTAGAATTTTAAATTGAGCCCTATATTTTACAGGAAGCCAATGTAGGGACTGACAGAAGGGTGAGGCGTGGGAGATGCGGGCGGACAGAAAGATGAGCCTCACTGCAGCATTCATTATGGACTGTAACAGCGCAAGTTGGGAGCACGTAAAACAACTGAGAAGTGGATTACAGTAGTCAAGGCGAGAAAGGACAATGGAATGGACCAACACCTTAATTGCATATGGCGTTAAGTAGGGTCGGATGCGCACAATGTTTTTGAGATGGAAATGACAGGATTCGGCAATAGACTGATAATGAGGCATGAAGGAGAGGTTGGAGTCAAAAAGAAACACCTAGGCAGCAAGCCTGCGTGGTGGAGCTGATGGTAGCACCATTGACTTGGAGGGAGGGATACACAGGGGTAGCAACACTTGAGGGAGGAAAGACCAGAATTTCAGTTTTGGTCAAGTTGAGTTTTAGGAAGTGGGCATCCATCCAGTTAGAAATAGCAGAGAGGCAGTCAGAGTCGCTAGTCAAGAGGGACGGAGAGAGATCAGGAGAGGACAGGTAGATTTGTGTGTCATCCGCATAGAAATGATATTGGAAGCAAAAGGAGCTGATGAGTTTACCAAGGGAGGCAGTATAGATAGGGTAGTAGGGTACCAAGGACTGAACCTTGGAGGACACCAGCAGAGAGGAGTTGGGTAGAAGAAGCAGAGCCAGAGAAAGAAACACTGAAAGAACGCTGGAAAAGGTAGGAGGAGCACCAGGAGAGAGCAATATCTTGATACCGATATTGCGGAGGATGAGTAGAAGCTGTTGATGATCAATAGAGTCAAAACCGCAGACAGGTCAAGGAGAATTAGGATAGAGTAGTGACCACGAGATTTTGCAGTTAGTAGATCATTGGATACTTTGGTCAGTGCCGTTTCCACAGAGTGCTTAGCGCAGAAACCAGACTGAGGTGGGTCTAGCAGAGAGTTAGACTTGTATATATCGCTTACACTAGAATTCATGACTGTTATCATTTAATAAATTATAAACAATATTCTGTTGCTTATTACAGTAAACTCCCATGAATTAGAGCAATTGAGTTTGTTATAACAATAAGATTTATCCTGTTATACGTACTCTAATTATCATATTACAATACAATTACTATTGGCCAGTTATTCTTTAGTCAGTAATATACGTCCATCAGTATTTCTATCATTTAGGTCAGCTACATCCTCTCCCTAAACTGAATAGTATCACACAAATATTTTTCGTACAGTAAGAACATAATTTCTCCCTATTTTATTATCACTCTCTGCATTAGGTATATATATGTTTCAATCTAGTTATCATATTTATAGATATTTCTCATTACGCTCCTTATGCAAACTTTTATCTATTTCTATACTATACGAGGTGGATTTCATGATTTATTTGTTACATACGTTACATCACATACCCACAACTATGACTGTGGTACTGGCTTTAGGGCATTGGACTGGCCCCTCAGTTAATACGACCAATTACTATTCTCAACAAGGAGACAAGTTAGCCAGTACTATGGTAAACTAGAACATCAATTGCACAGGTCTTGGAATGAGAAGAAGAATTATAGGGAAAATTTACTCATTTCTTATATAACATTTTGTGCAAACATCTGTTTGTTACTCCTCCATATGATAAGTGGCCTGGTGGCAATTTACTACCAGGAGGATTTGGTAGGGAGACATTGGTAACTATATACCCCAGAACATTAAACACAGACTTGCCTTCCAAAAAGGTGTCCTAATGCCCAGGAAAACAACTGGACTCCACCTTAATGCAGTCCAAACTGCCTGCTAAATATCTGGCAAACTTGGAGTAGACGTGGTTGGGCTCCTAACTTGCTCACCCAGGAACCATCTGTCCCTCATTAGTTATATAATATTATTCATACGTATTATCGTTCAGGGTCATGTATCTGCTCAAGACTATTCTGCCTCTTGTCTGGTCTTTCTGAAAACTGAATTAGCCTGTTTACTGGTCATAGAAACATAGAATGTGACGGCAGATAAGAACCATTCGGTCTGCCCAATATTTTTTTGAAAATACTTTCATTAGTCCCTGGCCTTATCTTATAGTTAGGATAGCCTTATGAATATCCCACGCATGCGTATACTCCTTTACTTTGTTAACCTCTACCACTTCAGCTGGAAGGCGATTCCATCCACTACTCTCTCAGTAAAGTAATACTTCCTTTGCCCTTCTAATTAATGTCCTCTTGTTGTAGTAGTTTTTCTTCTTTTAAATATATAGTCTCCTCCTTTACTGTGTTGATTCCCTTTACGAACAAAGAGAATAAGTGAACCAAGAAAGGAACAGTCAGATATTCTCTTGTTACCAAATGAATCATTCTTAGTTGGGAATTGAACCTGTGACCCATAAGAGATGAACAGTTTCTTATGATGCATTAGCCCACTGAGCTATCTCACCAGACTTGGGTCATAGCAGGTTGGTCACACTAGCTGCCCGTGCTCTATCCCCAATCATACAAAGTACATATAACGGAGCCCTGACTATTTCAATGGATTCATATTTGACTTTCAGATCACTGAATCTATTCCATCAAGACTAGGATGACGTTCACTTCCTTTTTGCCACTTTAAGCCAACCTATAACATAAACAATAAACTTACCTGACAGGCATTCAACATCATTTACTTACTGCTTTCTTAATCACAACCATTGTGCTTACTTTCCCTATTAAACTTTCTCAAGGGTATATAATGACTAGACCAGCCTTAACACCCAAACAACAATATATCAGATACTTGACAGTACTTGTTGAAAAGTTACACTAATAGCTCAATTAAGGCAGTCTGTTACATGACCTTTATGGTTTCTCACGCCATACGAAGTTACATAATAACGTTATCAGACTCATCCAGTTGTCTATCTGTGAATTTATTAAATAGTGGTTCATTAAGTACTCTATATTAAAACACTACATACCAAGAAACAGGCCCTCCAATAGAATCCCCCTTTATCCATCAAAAATGGGGCCCAAGAAACACTAGACCCCTACTTTTGCACAATAACAGGTTGTCCATGAAATACTCCCCTTCTGTTATGCACAATACCACTCGTCAATTATTTTACGATGTTCTTCATGATACTTAGCACTGACCCTTCTACATTTACAACACATTCTTTCAGTATCGGTGCAGCTTTGACTACTTCTAACATGGATATTTCAGTACATATATTAAAGAATAGAATGCTGGAAACCCCATGAAATAGATTCAAAAGCTACCCGAGAAAATGTAAGGAAGCATTAAGAAATTGGCGTGTTAGTTGTTTATGTAAAAGTGTGTAATTTGGTATCTTTTTGCCCTCTTTATTTACAGGCCTACCAGTATGTCGGTTTCAGAACACCACTACTGCATTTGCTCCACAACCGACTTTGTATTATCACCTCTTTTGCCCACGACAACAAATATAAAGGATGTAGTCTGTAGTTGTGGGAGGGGTTACCCTGGTATTTAAAATCAGGCAACCCTCTTACCTGGGCTGCTGCCAATTGTTTGACCCACCCACCACTCCCCTCTTTATTACATTATTAACCTGGTGGGCCATAGTGCTAGTTCATGTAAAACTGAGATGGGTGACTAGTGGGTGAGAGGAGGGGAAGAGGCTGAAAAAACTACCTTCGCTGTAAGCTGCACCAGAAAAAATCAATATGAAAAAGTCTATAGTAAGTAATGTTTATCACACACTTTCAAACTTTTTTTAGTTTGTATATTTATGTAAGGTTATTTGCTTGCTGGTTTAAAAACAAAAATGCCAAGTGATGCATGTCCCTTTAAGCAAGGAATGGGTATCCTCTTTTCCCTTAGCATTTTAAAACCACAGGGTTTCAGTGTTTTAAAAATAGCCAATTATGATTGCCTGCAAAATGTATTCTACAAGTATAGAAAAAAACAAAACCATGATATACTAATTTGGCTTTCTTGTGCATTACTCAGGGGGAATTATAGTATTTATCATAGATCTTGAAAAAATGGCTTTAATCAAAATAAAATATGGTTAGGTTGTAGTAGAGGTGGATATTGACAATGATAGATTTCTAGCTACAGTTCTATTAGAATACTATGCTGTGATTGCAGAGAGGCATACAACCAGATAATGAAGAAGTTAAAAAAGATGGAACACTAAAAATAATTATAAATTTATAAATGTATGCTTTTAATAGACACCTGTATTATCTTGAGTCTGTCTTCAGTCCAGTTCACTACATTTTCCAGATTATTGTGGTAGTGGTACATCAAATTCCTGAACTTCATGGTCTGCAGTAAGGCTTTTCGAGAGAATTATTAGGAAATTTGTAATTAATTTGAGAATATTTAGAAACTCTTCCAGGTTATCTAGGACTGCTACAGAAAGTGATTAAAATAATTCATCATTTATTTTTTATTGAGAGGTGAGTGTGTCTCCAGAGATATAAGAGATTCAGGTGATAAGATAAATGTTGTAAAAATACAATTAAATATTATTTAAATCACAATAGAATTTGAAATTTACAATATGAAAAACATTTTTAAATGATATATAACATATATAATTGCATGTATTAGGAAGACACTGCTGAACATTTATAGGATCTCAAATATCAGGGTATTTTTTTTCCCTCCATACAGATAGTGTCATCTTTCCAGTTTTCAAGGTTGAGACCAACATTCTCACAGGCGGCAGCATATGACTCTAAGGCATTGCAAAACTGTTCTATGTCTCCTCCTGTGGCACATTGATCATAGACGCAGCTCTCAAAGTACATCCCAGGTAGGATATAAAAGTGACATTCTTCAAAAGGACCATTGATTGAGAGAATGATTTTGCATTGTTCTTCATAGAGTTTCTCATCAGCAGGGTTACAAGGATGAGGAATTATAACATAATCTTCACACCTAAAGGAAAATGTAGTTTTACTATATTATCCATTTTTATACATTTGCATTTTTTTAAATGTAACAATGTTTAAATATGTAACAGAAGTATACCAAGCACCTCTATAAGAACAATGTGGTGTGGGCACGGAGGTTAAGTTATGTCATGAAAGATTCCATTTGATGCAGAGGTGTAGTTAGGGAGGGGCTGTCAAGGACTGGAGCCCTCAGTGGGGTCCTAAAAAGCCATCACTCTAATTCTAGCACCATTTCATTGTTCGTATCAAGTCCTGTGTAATATTTAGGGCAAGATATTTTATTATAAAGCACAATGTGGGGATATTGATGTGGGTTTACGGCTTTAATGCAGTGGGTTGACAAGTTAATCCAGCATGTCTTGGGGTCACAATGTCAGAACACAGGAATTAGGAATGGATTTAGGACATCTTTTAGGGCTGTTTTTAGGAGGGACTTAAATTAATATATACAGGATGGGACAAAAAATATACCTTGGGCAAAAGCCCGTAGTCTTTTGCACCCTTGAACTTCCCCTGCTTTAATGTAAATCCACACAATACATCATGCTTTAACATATTTTGCAATGTTGTTGAAATGGGCAGCCTAAACCTTTAAACCACTTCAGCCCTCTATGTTGGTTATGGTGCCAGCATTGCCTCTGTTCCCTGGTTTTGTGTCAAACCATTTTTGAAAAGATTGACACAAAGCTAGGGTACTCCAGAAGTCTATGATCCAGCCAATAGCGAATAGCATATTGCTATTGCCAAAGATACAATTCCACATAAGTAAATAAATTCAGAAATAATAAGTAAATAAAGAAACAGTATATGTACAATAACTACTAGAACCTGCTGTGGTAGTTATGGTGCCAGGATTGCCAGGATTGTCAAACTGTTTAAGTACAGTCTCAACCTTTAAGCCAGCACTACAGATCAGGGTTTAGCTCAGTGGAGAAGAACACCTCCATGGATGAGCTTCTAGCTCTTTGGGAGGTAGTAAAAGGCTTTCAGTGGACCTCAGGTAAGCTGTCATATCAATATTTTCTATGGGAGGACGTCAAGGCACTCCTGGCACCATAACCAGTAGAACAGGCTGTAGTGGTTATAGTGCTTAGTGTGTTCCTTTATTTTTGTCCATATTTAGGTAACATGAATTGGCTGAGTATAGTGCTTAGTGTGTTCCTTTATTTTTGTCCATGTTTAGGTAACATGAATTGGCTGAGAGCCACAGCAACAAGCTTAGGTATGGGAAAAGGACTCTGCTGGTACCAAAACTACATTAACTGGATATATTATTTATTATGTTTTCAGTACTCTTTTTACAATTATTGTGGTTCTATTTAGATGTGTTGTGCTGTGGCTTTATTGTTATTCCATACTTACTCCCAGTCATCATCAGGAATTCGCCAGCTGTTTCCAAACTCAGTTGAGGTGTGTGCCAGTAAACCATCAGGCTTTAAGAAATCATCCATTATATTACCAGTATAAGTTCCACAAAGACCACAGAGTTGACCTCTGAACTTTTCATGCACTTTAACAAACAGTTCATGTTTTCCATCAAATTTAACCTCCAGGCCAAAATCAGTTTGGAGAACAACATAGGGTCCACTATTATATATTAAGATTCCAGAGCCTGTATGTGCTGGAAAAGTAATCTTTCTTCCATTTACCTAAAAAAATAAAATAAGTTAAACATATGAACACAGTTTAAGATGTCCATAAAAATTAAATATATTAAACCCTCAATAATTATGAATTTACCTGCAAACAATCATAATACATTTCAAATTTGCTTACCTCTATGTGTGACGCATAAGCATTTTTTTGCTTCCCCAGTACAATGTTCTGGTCCCCAATTTTAACAGCAACTGAATTTAAACCTGTCCAGTCCAAAGTTCCCCTGTGCTCATTCCTCGTTGTGATTGAGAAGTTAACAGAGGAGTATCGACAGGACTCCACAGTGGTATAAGTACAAGCTCCTTGGAAATGGTACAGTTTGCCATCAAATGTGACATAGTGTGAGTCACCATAAATATGGCAAGTGGTGGAGTCTGACTGGTGACATCCTAGAACACCCCTTTGGACTTTACACATTTGGTTTGCTTGACATTTCTTGTCATTGCAGGTTACATGGTTATTTCCGATACATGTGCATTGGCCCTCACATTCTCCTTGCCAGAACTGGTCTCCTTTCTGGAAAATTAGACATATTTATAACAGTGTAATTATAATGAGGATCCCCAATCAGTCAGTCCGTCACAAACAGATGTATTATTTCTAAACAGAAAACTAGCCAGTAGTTACTTATTGAACTCTCCATAATAGTCTTCATATATGACATCTGTTTGGTTAGGAATAAGGATAATAAGATGGGTATAGCACACCACCTATACACAAGGTGATAATTTACTGCTTATATGTTGGTTGATCATCATCTTGGATAAGATTTTCTTGAAGACAATATTTAAGTTCTCCCAGCACTACATGAAATCTCAGTGTCATTTCACGTTACTACCAGCAAGGAGGTGAAGTGAATAAAGTGCCCAAAACTGACCTGATGATATGTGCCGTTATAAGAACATCCACAATCATTGACTTCAGCACAGGTACTCCCACTAAGAACAAAGCCATTATCACACTGGCAGCCCTCAATGCATGGTTTAGTGCAATTGCTTGATGCATTCTGATTCAGACAAGTGTCAGGACATGCACTGGTGCATTGGTTGTAGTGACTGTTAGCAGGACAATTGAGAGCTGAGTAAATAGTAAAAAAAAAAAAAAAAATGTGTTTTACAAGTCATTCTTAAACATTCTATAGATCGTAAGCTTGTTCAGCAGGATCCTCATTAATCTATTGTTCTTGTAAGATATTATGATTGTTTAATTTATTTTTATATTCCCTCCTTTATAATAATGTAAAGCACTGCAAAATAAGTTGGCTCTATATAAATGCCAATAATATTAATAATTTCATATATATATATATATTTGTAATTATTCCAGTTTGATTTAAAATGTGTTTGTTTAAGCAGTCTAAAGATTATTTGAATAGCACTGGGTAGTTATAACAGGTACCCGACACATTTTTTGAAACCATACCCAATACTCACCGCAGAATGTTGAGTTTCTCCAAGTGCTGCTAACTCCAGCCCGTTGGCAGGCATCAGCATATGCCTCTAATGCATTGCACAGAGCAGCGTCACCAAGGACACACAGGTCAAACACACAGCTGCTCATGAATCTGTCTGGGTTGATTACAGAAAGACAAGCCTGGAATGGACCATCTTTACTTCTTATAAGGCCACAGTAGGTATCTCTCTCATAAAATTCTTCCTTCTCTGGTGGACAAATTGGAGGTGGAGGAACTGGTGTGCATGATGGATCATCATCATCTACTTTCCAGCTGTTTCCCAGCTGATTAGTGTCCTGTGCTTGTTGACTATTAGGCATCATGAAGTCATCTATTAGGTCTCCATTAAAATTACCACATATTCCACATGTCTGGTTGAAATAGGTGGTAGGAACATTTACCTCCACTGTATGATCAGTGTCATATGAGACTGTGAGTTTGAAATCAGTCTCCACAAGGATATATTTTCCACTTCGGCTTACTGTCAAGTTTCCATTATCCAAACTTACTGGGAGAATGGTCCATACACCATTAAGCTTAAATAAAAAAATAGGAGTCATTGAAAAATATGTATATCTAAATAATACTGAACATCATTGTACAGTTAACAAGAGTCAATAAAACAAGTCCTGATTAGCACCATTTAAATCAAACATTGCAACTTTAAACAGAGAACAGAATTTAGTTTTCTTTCTACTTAACAAAATAACTTACTTTACCTTTACGTTGCAGATTTTTTTAAATAAATTAAATTGCAGCTTACCAGGACACCATTTTGCTCCATTTTCACAATTGTTATTTGATGGCCATAGACAATTACATTATTAATTATGTATAATAAAATATGCCCACTTAGTAGGATCAAGAACATTGAAGGGTAGCTTACCAGGACACGTTTTGGTTCATTTTTCACAATTGTTATTTGATGATTGTAAATATCTACCATAACCATTTGAATATATGACACTGTTGGGTTACCACGATGCTCATTCTTTGCTTCAATATTAAAATATGGCAGAGTGGAATTACTACAGAGTTTGGAGAGTGTGTAGGTGCACACTCCCATATAGTGATGAACTGCTTTGTCAAAGGTATTATAATGAGGATCCCCATAGACTAGGCAGTTGCCAAATGTTTGATCATAGCAGCCAGGTATGCTATTTGTTATGCCACAGTGTTTGTCATCTGGACAAGAAGAAGGAGTACAGGTAAATTCACTTCCTTCAGATGGACATCTGCATTTTGTAGAACAAGTGTCATCTGTCCAGAATTCAAAGTTCACTGGATGATTTTTAATGCCATCCCAGCATCCTTGGCATTCTGCTGTAGGGACACACTTCTTATCTTGGAGAACATATCCTGTGTCACAGACACATCCCTCAGCACAAGGGAGATTGCAAGTGGGTGAGGATTCTGGGTTTGAACAAGTGGCTGGACACGATGTACCACATTGCTCATAATGAGAGTTGGGTGGACATGACAGAGCTGTAAAGTACAAATACAGTTTAATTTGCAATTAGATTTATTTTATTATTGAAAAAATATTAGTCTAAAACATAGCAATAACAGGTTTGACAACATTACCTATTTGTAAGCAATAATATACAAGAGTAATTGTGTACACAAAATAGACAACTATAAGAGATCATTAATGCAAGGATACAAGGTAACAGCATACCCATACAGGTTAAGATAAAGGGACAATGTTTTATCTTATGGGGAAACTAATAAGGATAAAAACCACCCTTCAAGGCATACATTCTATGTCAGTAGGATCTCTATGATTGTTAAAGGGACACTATAGTCACCAAAACAATTTTAGCTTGATGAAACTGTTTTGGTGTATAGAACATGCCCCTGCAGTCTCACTGCTCAATTCTCTGCCATTTAGGAGTTAAATCAATTTGTTTATGAACCCTAGTCACACCTCTCTGCATGTGACTTGCACAGCCTTCATAAACACTTCCTGTAAAGAGTCATCCAATGTTTATCCTTGGATGACTTTATATCCTTTCCTTATTGCAAATTCTGGTTAATTTAGATTTTTTTCTTATTCACAACTATGTTAATAGCTTGATAGATCCTGCAGAGTCTCTTGTATGTGATTAAAGTTCAATTTACAGAGAAAGAAATAAAATAGTTTAAGGTAAATTACATCTAATTGAAAGAGAAACCCGTTTTTTTCATGCAGGCTGTGTCACTCAGAGCCAGGGGAGGTGTGGCAATGGCTGAATTAACAGAAACAAAGTGATTTAACCCCTTAACACCGTTACGGCGTTCTATGCCGTCCCCATTATAATGGACTTTAAAGCCGTTGCGGCGGCATAGAACGCCGTAACGGTTCCCAGGAGCTCCACGGTTCTTACCTCCGCCGCGATCCTCTCTCAAAGAGCGATCACATGGCCACAAAGCTGGCTGTGGATCAGCCAGCAGGGGGACTGTCTGGGCTGTCAGACTGTCCTCCTGCTGGTAGGTAGTATAAAAAAAAATATTATTAAAGGTAAAATAAAGTAAAAGTGTATTTATATATAAAATATATATATATATATATATATATATATATAAATATCAACAGATATCAGCTGCACTCACGGTCTGTGATAAAATCTTGAATTCTTTATTGGATTCGTTTAAAAATTAGATTGATGTTTCAGTCCTCCTTGTGGACTTTCCTCAGGTTCAAACATAAAATTCTAGTATAACAGTTGTCAAATATATACATACATAATTACAAACATAATTGAATATAGGTGCATATAAGCTTACCCCAGGTGTTGTGTGTTGCCTTCGGCGTTCTCTCGAGTCCCGGGCGCATGCGTGTGGTGATTCCGCCGCCTCGAGTGACATAATGTCGTATTGGCGTGATGACGGTTGTCTCGTCTCCATGGCAATGCTGTTAAACAAACAGACGATGCTCGTGGAAACTGTCGATCATATAACAGTGAATTAAGAGTACTGTACAAATCCAGTAAATATACTGATGATTAATATAACATTCGGTGAAAGAATAAAAGGATGAATAAAGTGCTTAAATATTATAGTAATGCAGTCATTAGATCGCCATTCTAAAGTGAATATTACCAATATTTAAAGTGACATTGCTTATAATGTCAAGTGCATTGAGTGCTCATAGTACTAATAATAAAAGTGAATTGAACAGGTGTAAAGTGCTTAAAATATGAACCATAAAGTGCCAAATAGTACAGGAGAAAACTCCTAATGTGAAAAAAGTGCCAAGTGCTAATTTGATACAGATCCTTTTTGAAATTAAAATTAAGATTACAGTGTCTACTAGTGCTGTATCTAAATTATAGCTATTACTTCTATTGCAGCAACCCTTTGTTTATTCCAATTGCGACAGGGGAAATGCTTAAGTAGTGGAGTACATAATGGCTTTGTTTTAATACATTTATAAACATGCCTATTGATAATCCCCACAGTGACTAGGTAGTATACTTCTATCTTAAAAACAAAAGTTCAAGTTGCAAGCAAGATTAGTGCATCATAAACGAATGTCATTTCACCCTAGTTCACAGAAACAAATAGAAAGGGATAGTTTCATTAAGTCCCTTTGGGAATAAAGTGCCTAGTTCATGGATCCAATAGGCCTCACAGTTTAGTAACATTTGCCTTGGTCACCACCTCTCGCTGGCAATGGCACATAATCAATGCCTATAAATTTCAAGGTTGATAAGGCATGGTCCAGTTGTAAAAATGTTTTGCCACGGGTTTGTCTGACTTTCCATCTCTGTAGGCTAATTTGATGCTGGACCTGTGTCCTCTTATCCATTCACATAAGGCCGTCTAGGAGAGACCACAGGGACAGGTCAACTTGTAAACAACGTGGGATGTTTTACAGGTAATAGTGTGTGTAACGGAGCTCCCTGTACTCCGACCGAGTACCCTCCGTTGACGGATGCTCCTAGCGCTTCCTGAGGACTCCAAGCGCTGCAGCAGACACCGCAACCACCGCAGAGTCCGCAACCGCCGTATCTTGACTGGAGTCTCGCCGTCTTCCTTCCACCCTGGATCAGCTTCTGTCCTCCAGGACTGTGTGGGAAAGAACCCTTCCTTCCACCCTGTACGAACCTCCAGCATCCAGGACTGTGTGGTGAAGATCCCTCCTCCAAGGAGAGCGTGTCAGGAACAAGCTCTTAAAAGAGCTAAGTGACTCAAGCTCAGGGGAGCATGCAGAGCATAGCAATCCCCAGTGTGATTATAACAGCTCCCTCCAATAATGAAACAAGGCTACGTTTAGAGGGATCAAGAAGAACTGTCAAAACCTTTATTCCCTTGGGACCAGCCAATACAGTCACCACAATAACATTGTTGTGAAACCTCAATAAAATCACAAACAGTCAAACCATATCAAGAAACACACAGTGACTTATCACAACACAATGGCACATTTTTAAAGGGGTGGGGAGAGACAATATTTAACAGTAAATATCTCACCTGCCTGCAGAATTAGCAATATGCAAATCTACCCGAATATGCAAATGAACCAGTCTTGCAATTCAGGTAGTGCATATTGCTGTTGCTACCAACAGAGGGCACTAGACCAGCTCCATAGCCAAACCCACCTAGTTGGTAGCAAACCTCAGCAATACAAGAGAGCAGGCAATACATTACACAGTACACACACACACTATAAACAATTACATTACACACACCCTGCACCTATAATGGGTACAGGGTGACTAAAACATAGGATAAATAAAGCAGCCCACATAAATAGTCTGTCTGAAGGTAGACTAGGGGCTTTAAAGCCAGATAGATGAAAGAGTCATAGTCACAGGGGAGGAGGCTGGCAAGTAGGCCTCTCCAGGACCAAGTGGCGAAGGGCACTTCGTCACATATCTCCCCTTCGGGGGGAAGACTAACCAGGCACCTGACTTTCTGTCGGTCAGTGCCTAAGTTAGTCGAGTCACCCACCGACCATAAGCAAGTGCCAGAGTAGCCCACCCACAACAAACAGTTATTAGAGCAGCCCACCCACAGCAAACAGTGACTGCACCTGGGTATTCCTCTGGGGTGATGGGGCAACACGCTGGGGGGCTTGGGACATAGTCCGGCTCAGTAGCCAGGGGAACGTGGGGGTCAGTGGGGGTTAACATCTCCCCTGTTAACCCTGGGGCCAAGTTAGGAGTTAGCTGGGGCGGGGAATTCGTACTTACCCCCTCCTCCTGTTGTCCCTGTGAGGGTAGTTGGGGATCTGGACAGGCTGTCCAGCATCCCTGTAGGTCGGGCACAGAGACCACGGTCCCCTCTGCGCCATCTGGGAGATTGGTGTCTCCCCTTGGTAGGGTAAGCTGCCACTGGGGAGATAGGGTGCTGTGCTCCTCTCCCTGAAACACAGGCTGCCGCTGGAGAGGGAGACCGCCTGTCTCCACTCCCATAACATTGTCCTGCTGCTGGAGAGAGAGACCAACTGTCTCTGCTCTCTGTAGGACACACTGCTGCTGGGGAGGAAGGATGACACCTTCGGCTCCCTGGAATTCGCACTGCCGCTGGGGAGGAAAGACGACACCTTCGGCTCCCTGGAATTCGCACTGCCGCTGGGGAGGAAGGACGACACCTTCGGCTCCCTGTAACTTGCACTGCCGCTGTGGAGTTAGGACGACACCTTCGGCTCCCTGTAACTTGCACTGCCGCTGGAGACTAGGTGTCCATATCCTCAACCTCCACAGTTGTCGCTCAAAGGCCATTGCCGCACTGTTCTCAGCACTCAACTGGCACATTACTTGGTGGACCACCTCGTTCGAAAGGTCTGGGCCATAGCAGACCAACCGCCTCTTTACCTCCTCAATGTAAGCGTTGTCCTCGTAGCGATGTATCATATTGAGGTGCTCTTCGCAGGGCTCTATCCATCCCTGCTCCATGCTGCTGTAGTTAGGGACACTGCACAGTGGCTAGCGTTGCCCTCAATAACCTCTCATACGATACCAGTGTCTCCGAGCTGCTTCTCCTCGCACTAGGACTCCATCCCACCGCTGCCACCAATGTAACGGAGCTCCCTGTACTCCGACCGAGTACCCTCCGTTGACGGATGCTCCTAGAGCTTCCTGAGGACACCAAGCGCTGCAGCAGACACCGCAACCACCGCAGACTCCGCAACCGCCGTATCTTGACTGGAGTCTCGTCGTCTTCCTTCCACCCTGGATCAGCTTCTGTCCTCCAGGACTGTGTGGGAAAGAACCCTTCCTTCCACCCTGTATGAACCTCCAGCATCCAGGACTATGTGGTGAAGATCCCTCCTCCAAGGAGAGCGTGTCAGGAACAAGCTCTTAAAAGAGCTAAGTGACTCAAGCTCAGGGGAGCATGCAGAGCATAGCAATCCCCAGTGTGATTATAACAGCTCCCTCCAATAACGAGACAAGGCTACGTTTAGAGGGATCAAGAAGAACTGTCAAAACCTTTATTCCCTTGGGACCAGCCAATACAGTCACCACAATAACATTGTTGTGAAACCTCAATAAAATCACAAACAGTCAAACCATATCAAGAAACACACAGTGACTTATCACAACACAATGGCATGTTTTTAAAGGGGTGGGGGGAGACAATATTTAACAGTAAATATCTCACCTGCCTGCAGAATTAGCAATATGCAAATCTACCCGAATATGCAAATGAACCAGTCTTGCAATTCAGGTAGTGCATATTGCTGTTGCTACCAACAGAGGGCACTAGACCAGCTCCATAGCCAAACCCACCTAGTTGGTAGCAAACCTCAGCAATACAAGAGAGCAGGCAATACATTACACAGTACATACACACACACTATAAACAATTACATTACACACACCCTGCACCTATAATGGGTACAGGGTGACTAAAACATAGGATAAATAAAGCAGCCCACATAAATAGTCTGTCTGAAGGTAGACTAGGGGCTTTAAAGCCAGATAGATGAAAGAGTCATAGTCACAGGGGAGGAGGCTGGCAAGTAGGCCTCTCCAGGACCAAGTGGCGAAGGGCACTTCGTCACAGTGTGTTTGATCTCATATTTTTTATTAGTATGAGGATGGTTAAATATACGTGCTGGTAACATGTGGCTTCACATAACACAGCCTACGCATCATACTGAACTTTGGTTTTGGACACTATTGGCTTGTGTATAGCTATTAATAGAATCTGTATGAACCAGCAGGTCTTTAAGGTTCCTGTTCCTTCTGTAGCAAAGAAGAGTTTTTTCTTTAAAAACTTTTGGCAGCGTGTCATCATTTGAGATCATCCGCCAATTCCGACATATTGTATTGGCTATTTGTGGGCTCTTTTGATGAAATTCCATGGGAAACACTAGTCTTGACGGGCTTACTTCCTTGCGACAAAAGCTGACACTCTGTGCTTCTTTAAGTGCTTTCTGTAGGACATATTTCTTGTAGCCTCATTCTAAGAACTTTAAAGTCATTTCCGGTAGTTGGACTTCTCTGATTCCATCATTGGAATTACAGGGAGTGCAGAATTATTAGGCAAATTAGTATTTTGACCACATCATCCTCTTTATGCATGTTGTCTTACTCCAAGCTGTATAGGCTCGAAAGCCTACTACCAATTAAGCATATTAGGTGATGTGCATCTCTGTAATGAGAAGGGGTGTGGTCTAATGACATCAACACCCTATATCAGGTGTGCATAATTATTAGGCAACTTCCTTTCCTTTGGCAAAATGGGTCAAAAGAAGGACTTGACAGGCTCAGAAAAGTCAAAAATAGTGAGATATCTTGCAGAGGGATGCAGCACTCTTAAAATTGCAAAGCTTCTGAAGCGTGATCATCGAACAATCAAGCGTTTCATTCAAAATAGTCAACAGGGTCGCAAGAAGCGTGTGGAAAAACCAAGGCGCAAAATAACTGCCCATGAACTGAGAAAAGTCAAGCGTGCAGCTGCCACGATGCCACTTGCCACCAGTTTGGCCATATTTCAGAGCTGCAACATCACTGGAGTGCCCAAAAGCACAAGGTGTGCAATACTCAGAGACATGGGCAAGGTAAGAAAGGCTGAAAGACGATCACCACTGAACAAGACACACAAGCTGAAACGTCAAGACTGGGCCAAGAAATATCTCAAGACTGATTTTTCTAAGGTTTTATGGACTGATGAAATGAGAGTGAGTCTTGATGGGCCAGATGGATGGGCCCGTGGCTGGATTGGTAAAGGGCAGAGAGCTCCAGTCCGACTCAGACGCCAGCAAGGTGGAGGTGGAGTACTGGTTTGGGCTGGTATCATCAAAGATGAGCTTGTGGGGCCTTTTCGGGTTGAGGATGGAGTCAAGCTCAACTCCCAGTCCTACTGCCAGTTCCTGGAAGACACCTTCTTCAAGCAGTGGTACAGGAAGAAGTCTGCATCCTTCAAGAAAAACATGATTTTCATGCAGGACAATGCTCCATCACACGCGTCCAAGTACTCCACAGCGTGGCTGGCAAGAAAGGGTATAAAAGAAGAAAATCTAATGACATGGCCTCCTTGTTCACCTGATCTGAACCCCATTGAGAACCTGTGGTCCATCATCAAATGTGAGATTTACAAGGAGGGAAAACAGTACACCTCTCTGAACAGTGTCTGGGAGGCTGTGGTTGCTGCTGCACGCAATGTTGATGGTGAACAGATCAAAACACTGACAGAATCCATGGATGGCAGGCTTTTGAGTGTCCTTGCAAAGAAAGGTGGCTATATTGGTCACTGATTTGTTTTTGTTTTGTTTTTGAATGTCAGAAATGTATATTTGTGAATGTTGAGATGTTATATTGGTTTCACTGGTAATAATAAATAATTGAAATGGGTATATATTTGTTTTTTGTTAAGTTGCCTAATAATTATGCACAGTAATAGTCACCTGCACACACAGATATCCCCCTAACATAGCTATAACTAAAAACAAACTAAAAACTACTTCCAAAAATATTCAGCTTTGATATTAATGAGTTTTTTGGGTTCATTGAGAACATGGTTGTTGTTCAATAATAAAATTAATCCTCAAAAATACAACTTTCCTAATAATTCTGCACTCCCTGTATTTCTGATGACACGCATGTATTGCGCTTTTGCAAGGGAATCCTGTAAAACCCTAGGGTGGGCTGTAGAGTATTTCCGCTACATTTATGATCTTCTAATCCTATGGAAGGGGACACAAGAAGCATTTTTCACATTAGGAGTTTTCTCCTGTACTATTTGCCACTTTATGGTTCATATTTTAAGCACTTTACACCTGTTCAATGCAATTTTATTATTGGTACTATGAGCACTCAGTGCACTTGACATTATAAGCAATGTCACTTTATATATTGGTAATATTCAATTTAGAATGGCAATCTAATGATAGCATTACTATAATATTTAAGCACTTTATTCATCCTTTTATTCTTTCACCGAATGTTATATTAATCATCAGTATTTTTACTGGATTTGTACAGTACTCTTAATTCACTGTTATATGATCGACAGTTTCCACGAGCATCGTCTGTTTGTTAACATCGTTGCTGTGGAGACGAGACGACCGTCATCACGCCGATACGGCATTATGTCACTCGAGGGGGTGGAGTCACCACATGCATGCTCCTGGGACTTTGGAGAACGCCGAAGGCAACAAGCAACACCTGGGGTAAGCTAATATGCACCTACATTCAATTATGTTTGTAATTATGTATGTATCTGTTTGACAACTGTTATACTAGAATTCCATGTTTGATCCTGAGGAAAGTCCACAAGGAGGATTGAAACATCGATCTAATTCTTAAAACGAATCCAATAAAGAATTGAAGATTTTATCACAGACCATGAGTGCAGCTAATATCTGTTGCTATTTGAATACGCTTGAGCCCTGGCTGGCACCCGGCAATTTATAATATTTCAGCTTGTGTGCAGGGACAAAAATTGTTTATATATATATATATGTATTAAGGCAATTTGCCTGCATTTGTGGGAGGTGCTGGTTTGCTACCCCTAGCCTACTTAAGGCACTCCCCTTACCTTGCTCCTTACCGTTCGAGGTCAGCGTTGAATGAGGATCCACTTCCGGGTTCTCTCAGACGCCATCTTGGTTTCAGTATCCACGAGGTTTCACCACGTTAAGCTGTGTCCAGGAATCCTGTTCAGGCCTTTCCGCCCGTCCAGCTTCTTCTGACTCCGGTCTCCGTCGTAGATCGCGTCCCAGGGACTCCTAAACCGTAAGTCAGACCTTCCTGTCACGCCAGGACCGGTTCCCACGGCGTACGGTACAGCACGGGTCCTCGCTTTACGGCTTTTTCCCTGGTTATGACACGAATGTTTCAAGCCATTCGCGGGCTTTTTCATTCGTACGGTCATTCGGCTGAACATATTTAATCGTTCAATAGTCATTTCGCATATCCTATTTCATGTTATTGAAACGAATTATCATTCGGTTGTTTTGCCGTTCGGCAAATTTTTACTTACGCTCAAACACGCTTTCGGTTCGCATAAGTCATACGGTTAAACTATTCTAACTTCTGTGTTTCCCTCACATTTGCTTTCGGCTTTTCTGTGTGTTCACGTATAATCCTTTCATGAATTATATTCACCATTTCATGTGTATATAACGTTCGGTTAAAGAATTGCTTGCTTAAATAGATTATTTTGATTACTTTTAAAATATTGTCAGTATTGTATTACGTCCACAAATCAAGTCCACTTCTCTGTATATACCATTTGACTCCCACGCTTTCAGGGGTCTGCGTTACTTATCCATTTATACAAATGGACTCAGCCTATGTTACAGGCCTCACTTCTGGGTTATTACTACAACACATACAAAGAATATAGGTTCATTTAAGCATAATTCTCGGGTTGATACGTCTTTTCTATACAATATATCATATAGATATACATCACTTTACATCATTTTAAATCATTTTGGGGTATCCCTGCCTTTGGTTATTCTGCTACATATCATACATAACGCTGTGTTAAATAGGCCAGGACCTCATCCATGTCCCTTTCTATAAAACCAGTTACATTTCTGTACAGATCATTGAAACTCCCACGCCAGGAGTTTTATAACTATCCATTTCATTTCAATTCACTCAGCCTATATTACAGGCCTCATTTCTCTGTCATGACGATGACACATAAGGCTTAATTCCTTTTTCATGCATACTCGGGTTGAATCACACGTACTGATCCAACCAATCATACGTTTCCTGCACAGTCATATACATATGTATATAACCTACGTTTCATGTTTTCCTTTACACACCATTATCACGTAACACATAGATTGTTTGTACATAGGCCACGGCCTCCCTCAGATGTCTTATTCAAGCATGCTAACATTTCTGAGCCACTCATAGCTATTCCCATGGTATCAACATAATTTTAATACATCGCTGCTACGGACTATAAGTCTGTTTCTTTTCACACTCCACACTCATCATACTACTCTCTTTTACCCATTTTTAGGCTGTCAAGCTTATATAATTGCTCCACACGGTTTATTCCTGTGATTTGTCATACTACCAGGTACATACACCTGCTCATATGGTATTCTACCATACATTTAAAACTCCTGCCACTACGTCAAGTGGCCTCAATAACCCCTCGCGCCAACGCAAAGATAGAGCCTCTCAAGCCGCTTGGCAATTAGCAGGGCCTCACCTGTCACCAAACAAGTATAATACTTTCGCCATCTGGCCTAGCTAGCCTGCCAGTACAATTTGGTGGTTCTATATACTAATTATTGTTTTATTTATAGTATGTCTCAGGAAGGGGTAGAGGATTTCTCCTTGCCTAGCACCCCGGCTAGAGCTGTCACTCCCACACAAGGAGGAGAGCTAGCTAGTCCAGCATCAATCAGATCCTGGACAATCCCGCGCATAACCACGGAATTAAGCAGACGACAAATCCCCTACCCCGCTACAGCAAGGAAGGCAGAACTTTTCAAACTGCTACGCACATCAACTAATAACATGGAGACCGGGGAAGGATCTAGCCAGTCCAACCCAGGGGACATACATGCCATGTTATCCTCACTCATGGCATCCATGGGCAAGGTCAACTCCAGGCTGGAGAAACTTGAGTCGGTCACCACGGCCCTCACTCTAGCAGGGCCACCCGCGGCTGCGGTACAAACACCAGCCTTGCCATTAGTCTCTCCAGCCAGCACCCTGGATGACCAGGAAGTTAGCCCGGCCCACATGATACCTGAGCATATCAAAAGGGATATCCTGGAAGGTAAAGACGTCAACCTGGCTTCCCTGTTGATTGCCTCCCAGGACATTGTGGAACATAAGACGTATGCTTATGATGATGTTTCTGTTATTGTCAGATCTAGGGATGCCCGCCTGAACAGGAAACTGACTATCCCTGAATTTGTACTAGCGTTTGGTATTTACAGGGATGTCATCTGTGCGGTTTATCCTAACAGAAGAGAGGAGTTTGATCTCTATATGCACAAGCTGGTAGACCTGGGCAACAAATATGGTGGTTCGGCATTCTATGAATACCATAGGTCTTTTTCTGCAAAAGTGGCTGGAGCCTTCTCCCAGTACGGAACACGATCCAAATGGGGAAGGATTGATACCGTCTTATTTTGCAGACACTTTGCAGGTCTAAGAACACCAGCTTGTGCATACTGCTCCTCCACAGCCCATACTACTAATTTTTGTCCCAACACGGCAGACGGACATGCCTCCACACAAGGAACTAGTTCCTCTGGGGATCCAGGGAAACTATCGAAAGACAAATTGGGACGCCCAATCAAGTTTCTGGGCAAGTCCCAGGTATGTAATAATTTCAATGTTGGGTCTTGTAATTACAGTGGATGTAGACTATTGCATGTCTGTTCAAAATGTTTTAGGGCACATGCAAAGACCATGTGTCCAAATAAAATGTATTCCAAGCCTTACCTTACGTCCATTAATATGCCAGTATTCACAACATTGATGTCTCAGCACCCATCTAGACACCTGGTAGACTTTCTTATTTCTGGTTTAACAGAAGGCTTCCACACAGGTATCCTACACATACCAGCTGGAACTCTGGAATGCCCTAACCTACAATCCGCCCAACACAACCCCACAGTGGTTGACACCCTCATAGCCCAAGAAGTGGATGAGGGCTTTGTATTGGGGCCTTTTAGAACTCCTCCATTCACAGAATGGCGCACCAACCCTATTGGTATTGTCACAGGGAAATCTTCCCAAAAACAGAGACTCATCATTGACTTATCGGCTCCCCACTCATCGGCCAACCCCAGTCTTAATTCCCTCATACCCTCTGAGGAATTCTCTCTGCAATACACCACCATAGATCACGCCATTACAGCTATCATACAAGCAGGAGTTGGAGCCTGGCTCAGTAAGACCGACATTACTAACGCCTTCAAGTTACTCCCTATCCACCCCACACTGTGGCACCTGCATGGCATCAAGTGGTCCGGGAACTACTATTTTTTCTCCCGGTTAACTTTTGGGTCCAAAAGTAGCCCAGCTATTTTCGACACATTTGCTGAAGCATTATGCTGGTTACTATTGAACATAGCCGGATGCCCTACGTATTACATTACTTGGACGATTTCCTACTGGTCGAGGAGAATACTTCACCTCCCACTAGCCTCAAAGCTACCACTAAGCTGTTTGAGCAAATAGGTGTACCCATCTCCCCAAAGAAAACAGAAGGGCCAGACACGGTTATCACTTTTTTGGGTATCCAATTAGACTCTGCCACAATGCAAGCAAGCCTACCATGCGATAAGATAGAGAATATTCTCACTTACATAAACAACTACCTACAGCTCGGCACTTGCAACCGCAAAGAGCTACAGTCCCTGCTAGGGTCACTAAATTTTGCGATGCGCATCATACCTCAAGGCCGCTCCTTTATTTCACGACTATTGCATCTTTTCCCACTTTTTCTACATGACACGCACAGGTTGTCCTTAGATGCCCAAGCTACGGCAGATCTAAACATGTGGAAGAGATTTTTAACCACTTGGAATGGTAAAAGTATGTTCCTCCCTCAATTGACTGAATCATCTCCTACCATTTGGTCAGATGCGGCATCTACCACTGGTTTTGCAGCAATTTTTGGGAACGAATGGCTTTGGGGCAGCTGGCCTTCAGCAGTTCAGGATTTGGAAGGTTTTTCCACTACCTCAGCTCTTTTTGAGATCTACCCCATAGTGGCGGCTGCCGTAGCATGGGGTCATTTATGGGCTAATACGCCAGTGCGTTGTTACTCAGACAACCAGGCAACCTGTCACATCATCAACAAAGGTCGTTCCAAATCTCTTACGATCATGAGATTTCTGAGGAAACTCACTTGGTTGGCAGCTTGTCATAATTTCTTCCTATGTTGTTTCCATGTGCCAGGTGTATATAACACAGCTGCTGACAATTTGTCTCGCTTTAAATTTCAGGAGTTTCATCAAGCACTCCCGTCAGCAGCACCCACAGCCACCATCACTCCAACATTTCAACAACTCATACTGGACTAGACGTCATCATGCAGCATAGCAGGGCATTGTCCCAGTTGGCACTTTCAAACAATACAAACAAAACATACAGCAGGGCTTTCACACTATTCAAATGATTCCTTCTGGAACATAACATCATACAACCGTTTGTTATGACATCTTTTTTGGGGTTTGCTTCCTTTTGCCACCTTAAACTCAAAATGTCATACAACACCATCAAACTCTATCTCACTGGCATTCAACACCACATGCTCATCTTACACCCAAATAACAACAGTTTCATGGCCTCTCACCAAATTAAGACCATACTCAAAGGTATTAAAAAATCAGAACCCACACATTTGGCCCAGAGGCTACCCATAGATAATCATATCTTCAAAGCATTATATAACCTACTTGACCTAAAACCGTTTGACACTAATACGAATTCTATCATCAAAACAGCAATATACATCGCTTTCTATGGATTTCTACGACCCAGAGAATTCACTACGACCTCCACGATCCAAACCACTCCATTCCTCCTCTACTCCCACTTGACAAAACATATGGATCATTACATCCTGTCTTTACCTCACTCCAAAACCAGCCAGCACATACCTGTAAACATTCCGTACTATCCCACGCACAACAGATGGTGTCCCGTCAAGGTTCTTGATGCCTACATACAGCACCATCACTTACTGCCCTCGCAACCGTTATTACAACTACAAGGTGCAGTACTCACCACTACAACCTTCATGACCTACGTCAGGTCCTTGCTCACACAACTGGGCCTCAACGCAAACAAATACTCAGGACACTCCTTTCGTATAGGAGCCGCGTCCACAGCCTCCAGTGTCAACATCCCAACTCATGTTATCAAAACACTGGGGCGCTGGAAGTCATCCGCTTACTCACGGTACATACCGAACCCAGTACAAGAATTAAGGGATGCTTTCATAAACATGTCTGGTTGATAAATGTATATGTATTGGTTGTCTGTTAATAAATTTGATTACTTAATTTTTGCCCTCTTCTTTCTCAGGCCTACCTCATCGTCGGTTTCGGCACACCACAACCGACTTGCTCCTTTTATCATCCTACGCTTATTCATGGTATTTCATACTGTACTATCTTAAGCACCTAACACAAGTATTAAGGCAATTTGCCTGCATTTGTGGGAGGTGCTGGTTTGCTACCCCTAGCCTACTTAAGGCACTCCCCTTACCTTGCTCCTTACCGTTCGAGGTCAGCGTTGAATGACCCTCCCACCACACCACTTTTAACATTTATTTCCTTTCTATTTCTTTTCCTGGGTGGGCCCTCTTCTTTCTCAGGCCTACCTCATCGTCGGTTTCGGCACACCACAACCGACTTGCTCCTTTTATCATCCTACGCTTATTCATGGTATTTCATACTGTACTATCTTAAGCACCTAACACAAATATATATATATACATATATATATATATATATATATATTGAAAAAAAGCCTTGCACTCCTACTTACAATTATTTGACCCGGTGCTTGATTGCACTAAATGTATGAAAGAAAAAATCAGCACTCCCAGGTAGCTTTCTTAGGAACTTCTTTTACTAAAAAGTGTAACAGTCAAAGTTTCAGTTCCATTCAGGAACTTTCATCAGGATAACCACTTAGTCACAAACACTGGCCAAATATTTGGTTTTTGCTTTTTTCACACAAAAACAAATATGAATGCTAAATTTGGCCAGTGTTTGTGACTAAGTGGCTACTAAAAAAAGACTGGACATACCCCACTTGCAATACCTTGGGTTGTCTACTTTTGCAAATGGTTTGCCATCATGGGGGTAATTCTCATTCCTGGGCTACCATATGGTCTCAAATGTAACATTACTAATCTGGCAAATTTCAATGTGAAAAAACTGAAAAATGGAATGTGCTATATTTGACCCTGTAACTTTCCATAACACCGTAAAACCTGTTAATGGGGTGTACTGTTGCACTCGTGAGACTAAATACAAATATGTCCATTTTATTGCACTAAAAACTAACAGTATTATTACATTTACAGCTAAAATGTCAGGCTGAACTACACATTTTTTTAAAAATTCTTAATTTCTCACAGTTTTTTTTAAATTTTATTCATAATAAATTATGTTTCATATATGAATAGTTATTGAGAAATGAAAGCCCTGTCTCTCCTGAACAAAATGATATATAATAAGTGTGGGTGCACTTAATATGAAAGAGGTGAATTACGGTTGGACAGACATATAGCGCAAATTTCTGTTTTTGTTTACATTTTGTTTTGATCAGAACGTGTACTATTCACTTCGTCCTGAAGGGGTTAACTCCTAAATGCAGAAACAAAAGAGCAAAAATTCACAAACTGAATATAATGCTGGCTGGAGATAAAGACGTAGGCACCAAAGCATCCAGTGGTACGGAACAGTGTAACCAGAAGGAGACCACTAAATATCTGAAGTAACAGAAAGTATCAACACAAAAATAAACTAACTCCAAATAATAATAAATACCGAACTAGCCTCATAAGGCTACTCCCATGCCTAAGTAATTGAGGAGAGTTACTAAACACCTAATTCTGCAATATACATATAGTCTTTATTAGTCCTGGCCCTTTAATGCATAGGGTGTTAGTAAATCTCAACTTAGTACCGAAGCACCAGAAAAAGTGCCAAAGGGAGAAAGGTCACTGTCTAAAAGATTGGCAGCCCTAATAATCAAAGTAGACCGACGGATAAAGTAAAATAAAATAAAGAAAGCCTCTCTCCTTGTGGGACTTACCAGATAGGCATAGAAGAAAAATTGTAAATCATAACAAACTCCCATGTCTAAGTAAGTGAGGAGATGAAGTGCTAAACGCCCAAGTCTGCAATATACATATAGGCTTAATGAGTCCTGGCCTTTTAATGCATAGAGTGTTAGTAGATCTCCCCTTAATTCCTGAGCACCGGTAAAAATGCTAAAGGGAGAAAGGTTACTGTGACCTATGGGTCAATTTTAACTTGCACCTGTCCTACTTTTGATTATTAGTGCTGCTAATCCTCTAGACAGTAACCATTCTCCCTTGGGCATTGCTGGAGTGTATGGGATCAGTGTGGATGTGGTGTTTATTCCCTTTTACACCCATTTTCACACAGATCCAATTTATTTCTATTTTTCCTGGGTAACTCCTAAATGGCAGTGAATTGAGCAGGGAAACCTGAGAGTCCTGATCTATAGACTAAAACTGCTTCATTAAGCTAAAGTTGTTTAGGTGACTACAGTGTCCCTTTAAAGTGGTATGATGGCACAGGGCCTCACTGATCCTTAATTGGGTAAAACATATAGTATAGTTTAGGTGATATGTTATATTAGAAAATGTGACATATTTGCTAAAGAAAAAATAATTGTTAATGTCAGTCAAAGGGAAATTATATAAATTACATAATATTGTTGACTTTTTAGTAGCTTAAATTGATTATGAATTGTCAGTTAGACCTTAATTAATTAAACTGCCGATTGTAGCATAGACCAGGTGTTTTATGGCTTTATTAGTTTAAGTATTGATGCTTCACTTAATTGTTAGTCTTTAAGATCATACTTACGACAGAAAGTTTCCTTTCTCCAGGGGAGCACAATGGCTCCTGCCTCCTGGCAAGCATCTGCATAAGATTGGATGTGGATACAGAGTGTATGTGGGTCTAGTTGTAGTGCACACATGTCATAGTAACAGTTTACAAAGTACTCCCTTGGATCTACTATTAGATGGCAGCGTTGGAATATACCATCAAACGGAAGCATTATGCCACAGGATTCATAGCTCTCAATTTTGCGTCTTACATCATCAGAGCAATTAAATTTTTGGTCAGAGTCTAATGAGCAGCTTTAAAGAGTAAAAAGAAACATGAGATTCAGTAGTGATTTGCACACAAACATGATTTTGATAAAATAGTTATAAAATACCTCTGTAATCTTCAAATCTGTAATCTATTAGAGAGACCACTTGATTCAGTTAAAAGATAAAAGATGTATTCCAAACATAGAAACATAGAATGTGACGGGAGATAAAAACCAGACAGAAACAGTATACCCTGTACTCGAGTTCCGCATTAATGCTCCGACCTTCCACCAAGGAGGCGCTCAGTGTAAATCAGGGGTGGGCAATCTTTTGGACTACATCCCCCATAATTCTCTTAGGGCCATAATGCTAGAAAAGCATCAAGGGAGATGTAGCCCATAACATCTGGAGGGCCGAAGATTGCCCACCCCTGGTAAAGGATGGACACCGCTGAATCCACCAATGCAATATTAAAAGAAGAGGAACACGGGCAGCACTCCAGGATAATGAAATTAAGTTTATTCATGGGTTCACCACCTCACCAAAAAATAAGTTCACATGTTAAAACATATGTATAAGTAACATATAAAAAAACAAGACATGGGGTCTGCTCAAACAAAGTATCAGGATCTTAAAGGTATAGTAACCAATTATATAGTAACATAACGATCTATAATTTAATATTCCATAAAATGAGACAATAAGATGCCTATCCCACGCATGCTTAAACTCCTTCACTGTGTTAACCTCTACCACTTCAGCTGGAAGGCTATTCCATGCATCCACTTACCACTCAGTAAAGTAATACTTCCTGATATTTTAAAACCTTTGCTCCTCTAATTTAAGACTGTGTCCTCTTGTGGTAGTTTTTCTTCTTTTAAATATAGTCTCCTCTTTTACTGTGTTGATTCTATTTATGTATTTAAATGTTTCTATCATATCTCCCCCTCTCTTGTCTTTCCTGCAAGCTATACATGTTAAGATCCTTTAATCATTCCTTGTAAGTTTTATCCTGCAATCCATAAACCAGTTTAGTAGCCCTTCTCTGAACTCTCGCTTAAGTATCAATATCCTTCTGGACATACGGTCTCCAATACTGCGTACAATACTCCGAGTGAGGTCTCACCAGTGTTTTGTACAATGGCATGAGCACTTCCCTCTTTCTACTGCTAATACCTCTCACTATACAACCAAACATTCTGCTGGCATTTCCTGCTGCTCTATTACATTGTCTGCCTACCTTTAAGTCATCTGAAATAATTACCCCTAAATCCCTTTCCTCAGATGTTGAGGTGGGACTCAAATATTCTGTACTCTGCCCTTGGGTTTTTACGTCCAAGATGCACTTATCCTTATTAAATATCAGCTGCCACAACTCTGACCATTTTTCTAGTTTACCTAAATCATTTGCCATTTGGCTGATCCCTTCTGGAACATCAACCCTGTTACATACCTTACATACCATCAGCTAAAATACATATATTACCATCAAGACCTTCTGCAATATCACTAATAAAAGTATTAAAGAGAATTTATCCAAGTATAGATCCCTGAGGTGACAAGCACTGGTGACAAGCCCAAGCTTTGAACATACTTCATTGGCTACAACCTTCTGTTGCCTGTTACTCAGCCACTGCCTTACCTATTCAGCAATATTGGAATCCAAACTTAAAGATTGCAGTTTATTGATAAGCCTTCTATGTGAAAGTGTCAAAAGCCTTACTGAAATCTAGATAAGCAATGTCTACTGCACCACCCTGATCTATTATTTTAGTTACCCAATCAAAAAAATCAATATGATTAGTTTGGCATGATCTCCCTGAAGTAAACCCATATTATCTCTGATCTTGAAATCCATGTGATTTTATATATTGAACAATCCTATCCTTTAACATGATTTCTATTACTTTCCCCACTACCGAAGTAAGTCTTACTGGCCTATAGTTTCCCAACTCTTCCCAACATTCGCTAACATCCAATTTGGGACTACTCCTGTTAACAATGATTGGTTAAATAAATCTGTTAATGGTTTTGCTAGTACACCACTAAGCTCTATCAATAACTTTGGGTGTATTCCATCAGGCCCCATTGACTTGTTTGTATTTACTTTTGACAGTTGAAATAGAACCTCTTCCTTTGTAAACTCACATGTAACAAATGACTTATTTGTCCTTTTTCCTAGCTGAGGTCCCCTTACTTCATTTTCATCTGTAAATACTGAACAAAAATATTCATTGAGGCAGTCCGCTAGACCTTTATCCTTATGCACTTATCGCACCAGACACGATTTTGTATGTGTCAGGTAGAAACAATGATTTAACAGCATGGAGTACAAAGTCATACAGATTGACAATGAATAGTGTCAGGAAATCAGAAGATAGAATCCCTAACCAACTCAAGACTAACTCCAACATGTCTTTTTTTAAGTACATTAATGCCAAAAAGGTTAAGAGTAAAAGAGTTGGTCAATTGGAAAGTTAGATGGGTGAGTTAATCAAGGAAGATCAAGACAAGACAGAAATTCTAAATAATTAGTTTTCTTCAGTATATAGGGAAGAAGAATATATGGCTGTAGATTTGCAAATCCTTATTACAAAAGCATTACAGCAAACAGGTGATTTTTTAACACAGCATAAAGTGCTTCAGAAATTAAAAAAGATAATGTAAACAAAGCCCAGACACAGATGGTATTCACTCACGTGTGCTTAGGGAGCTTAGTGCAGACATATCCATACAACTCTTTTTAATTTTTCAGGATTCTTTTCTTTCAGGAATTGTAACAAAGGACTGGAGAAAAGCAGATTTGTCTCCTATATTTAAAAAGGCTTCAAAAGTTCAACCTGGATACTATAGATGCGATTTTAACATGTGTGGTTGGGAAAATATTTGAAGGACTGTTGAAGGGATACTATAGTCACCCAGACCACTTCATGAGGCAATGATTTCTTATGGGGAGGGTCTAATGCACTTGCAGCACTCACCACACATGTGCATTAGGTCGCCCCATTGGAAGATGTCGGAGGAGGGGGAGCATAACTCAATGCTGAGGGACATCACCAGTCAAATCAAGTGAGTAAATAAAGTTTTTTTGGCCTGTTTTGTTTAACCCTTTATGTGCTACTGAGGGAGCCTGGAGGGAGGGGAGACCAGAGGGAACTGTAGTGTTAGGAATACAAATTTGTATACCTAACACTATAGAATTCCTTTAAGGGGAATTAATTTTGAACAAAAATATATTTAGCAGGAGTCAACATGGTTTTATGAAAGACAGGTCATGACAAAACTTGGAGAAAGACACTGCAAGGTGTACTCTAACTGAGGAAAGCAGGATACAAGTCAAGGTCATGGTACCAGAGGACAACTTAGTCAAACTAGTCAGAAGAAACAAAGAGAAATGAAAAATAAACCAGGTCAAACACAGTAAATCAACAACAGAAGCAACAATATCACAAACACCTAGAACCAGGCAAGGACCATGGACTAGCAATGCAAAAATAGAGGAATGAGCCTTATGTAAGCAAACCCCTAGATTTGAGATTGACATCACAAGCAACATCACTCTTGCGTGCTGGAAATGATGCAACTCAGCAAAGATGGGGGTAAATAAAGGAAGCAAATTCCTATCATTCCGCATTAAACACACTAATGGTGTGTGAAGGATGCCAGACATGCAAAGTTCATGAAAGAAAAAAAGACTAAAAAAAGATTGTTCAGTCGGTCTGTAATCTATACAAAGAGTAATGTAAAGTATAATGGTGCTAGAAGTTATTGCATATGACAAGAAAGACCAGATTTAGAAGCAATACAATTTACTTACTGAGTATCACTAGGTACTTGCCAGCCATTGCCATAACTGATAGAATTGTCTTCTTTTTGCCCAGCAAGATTGAGAGTATCATCTCGATGATCATTGTTGAAATTGCCACATATTCCACATACTTTTCTCTCATACACTTTAGAAAGTGTTACTTCGACTCGGTGGTCTCCATCATATTTCACTCTTAACCCAGCATTAACTGTGACAGCAACATACTGACCACTCAAATCAATAGACACACCTGGAGACAAGTTCAGGGGAAGAGGCTGGATCTGTCCATTTACCTGGGATTTTTTGATTTTTAGAAATTAGTAATTGATCAATTAAATCAAATTTATTTAATAGCTGTAAATATTTTTCTAAGTAGAACTACAAATGATTTGTGCATAAGCAACTTTAAATTATTTATCCTGATGTAATGATAAAATTCAACCATATACAAAAAGAATCAAATTGCACCTTTACAAAGAAATTGCACAGTGGTTTACAAATTAATTAATCTGATGTATTGTACTCAATGGCCATAATTTTGAGGAGTTTTAGAATTTAGTATTCATCAGATTAACATTATGTATATTTTAGCACATAAGCATAGAGCAAAATTCTATTCAAAGTAATGTGATATAAAACAAAATATTGTTCTACTATTCTACTGTAACTACATTTTTGTATAAAAATAAACATTTACAACTTTTAATCCCTTACAAATTCTAATCAAAACAAGACATGGAACTGCAGTTATAAGTCTGTTAATAATAATATATCTCTTTTTTATATTAAGTGCACTTACACGTATTATAGATCATTTTGTTCAAGAGAAACAGGGCTTTCACTTTACATCAACTATTCATACATGAAACATAATATAATATGAATAACATTTAAAAACATTGTCTGTTGAGCTTTGCAGTCTGTGGTTGGACTATACAAACTCAGGATGAACTACAGAACGAGTGAGATATTGTACTAACTGACACCAGCACACAGAGAAGTTTTATTTACTGGAATACTGGGTAATGGTTTTTTTTATGTGTCATTGTATTATTGCCATATAGACATTTTTGTATGTGTTCTAATATTATTTTGCAGTATGTGAATGATTAGATAATTTGTTATATATAATTATATAATAAAAAAGTATGATGAATGATTGCTTATAAATGTTTCAGTACACCAATTTTATAGTGTCCCTTTTAATTTCTCTTCTCTGGAGTTGGGATGGGAAATAAATCGGTATTGGTGAGAAAGGACAAAATATTTAAACACGTGAGCCGTCTTGCTGTTTTAAGCTATTAATATTAAATTTCCATTGTTTCTTATCTTTTTTTTCTGCTTACCTTTACAAGCCTATCCTTTTCCAGGCTTATAGCATAATTATGAACATATACTGTTACTTGCTTGACATAAGATACAAGGGTGTTCTCCCCTCTGTACTCATGTGCAACTTCCACATTGAAATATGTCAGAGTGCTGTTCTGTTCGCACAGCTTTGTGAGGGTGTATGTGCAGTTTCCCATGAAGGTATGAGGATAGTTATCAAACGTAAAGTAATGAGGATCTCCATAGCCAATACAAGTGCCTCCTGGAAATAAAGAGAAACACATACTGAAAAGCTATGTAAGAGGTTTTACACATACGAGGTTAATAACCATTTAGGCAATATTCCCCTTTCCAGATGCACCAACAGCTACTGTAAGCACCAATCTCCCTAACCGCAAACTACACGAATTCACCAACTCCCGAACAGGAAACACACGAATACTGGAAACAGCCGAACAGGAAAAGCATACAATCAGCTTACACTCCAGGCAATCAGCATACAATCCAATTCCCCCAATAACGAGACGACACTTCGTTTTGAGGGTCAAGCAGGAACTGATTTACCGGGGCTACCTGCCTGGCTTTTATGCAGGTCTCGCATCCGGTGGACACTCCCCTAGGGGACCAGATGGGAAACTGGGAAACATATTGGACATTGACCAATCACAGACATACACCTTTAAACACTCCCACAATGCATCACAATCCCTCCTCTCTGTCCTGGAGAAAATTGGGAAGTAATCCAATTTTCTCCAAGGACAGAGGCAAAACTCCATTAGCCACATGGCAGACAAAGGACAATAAAAGACATAAAATTACATACTGTTACATTTATCACATAGAACATACACATTCTACCTATCCCCAGATAGCTTAGATCTGAGTGCACATTATTACCGGATGGTGCTCAGATCACGTGCATACAGTTCAATCGCCATGGAGCCAAAGTCTTTCATACAGTCTTTCAGTATATGGCTGGGCTCCATGGCATAGCTATCTGGGGTAGCTTGGATTTAACAGTCTGCAGAAAGGCACGAATATGCTTTTCTGCAGGGAAAATAAAAGGTTTTAACTGCCGGGCCATAGTCTAAAGGGAGCAGGCGAGCAACCAGGCTCCTCCAGTGGACAGTGGCGAAGCTGGTTTCGCCACATTTCTCCCATCCAGACTAACAGGGTATCTGACCTCCTGTCGGTCAGTGCCCTGTTAGTCCAGCAACCCACCCACAAAACAGAATCCGCAGTTTAACCCACCCACCAGAATTGGTTACTACACCTGGGGTAGTGAGTAGTTTGTCCATATCCAGGAGCTCCACCTCGGCTCTGGAGGGTACTAGCGTTCCGGTTGGTGGGTTGCTGAGTGGGCAGAGACCAGCGGTACTCTGCCCTGCTGCCAGCGCTACCACAGGAGTAGCCTGGTTGGAGCCCAGTTGAGGGAATGGCGTAATAGGCTCCTCACTCTGGACCTGGTACTGCTGCTGGAGGGCAAGACAGGCTGTCTCCCCTTTGGATGAACATCCCTGCTGTCGGGGAACAGGAACAACCGTCCCGAGCCCCTGTGAGGCATGTGCAGAGACCACGGTCCCATCTGCACTGGTGTGGGGCTTATCATCTCCCCTTGGTGGGCTGCTGTTGGGGAGAGGGGGTAGCAAGTTCCTCTCCCTTACCCACTTTCTGTTGCTGGGGAGAGGGGATAACAAGCTCTTCTCCATGACTCTCTCTCTGCTGGTGGAGGGGGGGACCGACTGTCTCCCCTTTCAATATACTGTCCTGCTGCTGGGGGACGAGACTGACTGCCTCATCTGCGCCATCTGGGAGAATAGGGTCTCCCCCTTGAGAAATAAGCTGCCGCTGGGGAGAGGTGGTCACCGACTCCTCTCCCTGGAACCCTTTCAGCCGCTGTGGAGAGGGGTTAGCAGGCTCCTCTCCCTGACACTCTTTCTGCTGGTGGAGGGGGGGACCGACTGTCTCCCCTTTCAATATTTTGTCCTGCTGCTGGGGTGCGAGACCGGCGGTCTCTGCTACCTGCAGGACACCCTGCCACTGGGGAGGAAGGACGGCACCTTCAGCTCCCTGTAAGACAGACTTCCACTGGGGAGGAAGGACGACACCTTCGGCTCCGTGGAACTCACACTGCCGCTGGGGAGGAAGGACGGCACCTTTAGCTCCCTGTAACACACCCTGCCTCTGGGGAGGAAGGACGGCACCTTCAGCTCCCTGTAACACACACTGCCACTGGGGAGGAAGGATGGCACCTTCAGCTCCCTGTAATACACACTGCTGCTGGGGAGGAAGAACGGACCTTTGGCTCCCTGGGACTCACACTGCCACTGGGGAGGAAGGACGACACGCTTCTCTCCCTGTAACTTGCTCGGCCACTGGGGTCTCTCCCAACCTGCCAACTTACGTGCCCGCCCTGCTCCGACCTGCAGGTACTCTTCTACATGTCTCCTCACGAGCTGCACGCATCTCTCCGGGGGGGTGGGTCCAAAGAAAGCCAGCCGCGTGGTAAACTCTCTGTCAAACTGCTCCTGAGTGTAGCTTGCTCTGCTGCAGTTGTTTCTTTTGTAGATAGGGGCGCTGTACGGGTACTAGCATTGCCCTCAATTTGTAAGTCCAGGGGATGGTGTTGTCTTGTAGCTGTCCTTCTGGGCTGTGGGAATGATCCCACCGCTGCCATCAATTGTAACAGACCGTTTTACACATAAGAGGTTAAAAACCGTTTAGGCCATATTCCCCTTTCCAGATGCACCGACAGCTATTGTAAGCACCAATCTCCCTAACCGCAAACTACATGAATTCACCAGCTCCCGAGCAGGAAACACATGAATACTGGAAACAGCCGAACAGGAAAAGCATACAATCAGCTTACACTCCTGGCAATCAGCATACAATCCAATTCCCCCAATAACGAGACAACACTTTGTTTTGAGGGTCAAGCAGGAACTGATTTACTGGGGCTACCTGTCCGGCTTTTATGCAGGTCTCGCACCTGGTGGACACTCCCCTAGGGGACCAGATGGAAAACTGGGAAACATATTGGACATTGACCAATCACAGACATACACCTTTAAACACTCCCACAATGCATCACAATCCCTCCTCTCTGTCCTGGAGATAATTGGGAAGTAATCCAATTATCTCCAAGGACAGAGGCAAAACTCCATTAGCCACATGGCAGACAAAGGACAATAAAAGACATAAAATTACATACTGTTACATTTATCACATAGATCATACACATTCTACCTATCCCCAGATAGCTTAGATCTGAGTGCACATTATTACCGGGTGGCACTCAGATCACGTACATACAGTTCAATCGCCATGGAGCCAAAGTCTTTCATACAGTCTTTCAGTAAATGGCTGGGCTCCATGGCATAGCTATCTGGAGCAGCATGGCTTTAACAGTCTGCATAAAGGCACGAATACGCTTTTCTGCAGGGAAAATAAAAGGTTTTAACTGCCAGGCCATAGTCTAAAGGGAGCAGGCGAGCAACCAGGCTCCTCCAGTGGACAGTGGCGAGGCTGGTTTCGCCACAAGCTAAAAATGTGTTATATATTAGACTTATGCACTGCATATTCACTTCTTCCGAATCAATTCATCCTAAAGAACTGACAATCATATGATGTTTCAGTTCAGATGAATTTCGTCTATACGATCATTTTAGGAGAAATTATGATCTAATAATGCACCTATAAGAAGACATAAATGTTTGTTGTGTTCGGGGCCATTTCAGTATAGTATGAAATAGCTAGTGAGTATACTTATCAACAATAATAAAAAGTTGGTAGAGGTTGCCGAAACCGACGTGTGTGGTAGGCCTGTAAATAAGTGGGCAAAAAGGAATACCCATATAGTATTTATCAAAGATATTATTACGAAAACACAAGACATGGAGTTAGCATTTAACGATGACCTTTCACAAATGCATTCTTTAATTCCTGTGTCGGCTGAGGTATGCGTTGTTGGTGGGGTAGTACTGAATAAGTACCTCGTGACCCCTCTGGCTGGTCTTAGTTGATAGTAATTTTAATACGTAGTGATCCTGTACAGGTTAGAATACCGTAGGCAAAGCTTGGAATCATGTTGCCCTGTGATGGTAAATTCTCTGGGTCATATGGAAACCATAAAAGCCAAGTATATGGCGGTTTGAGAATGGTGTTTGTAACTGAGAACATGTGGTGTTGAATGCCCGGGAGATTTAACTTAATATTGTTGTGGGGCATTGTTTTTGATGTGGCAAAAAAGTGGCAAAAGCCCCCAATTTTGTATTCTTGAACCAGTTTGTAAGGTGGTGATCTGACATGAACTTCGATATATGCAGTAAGCTCTATCATAGCAGTGTGCGTATTCTTCAGGGCCAACTGTGTGAATTCCTGCTGTGACTTAGTCACTCTTCTATTCCATAGGTATTTCTTGGAGCTGGGGAGCGATCGTGGCTATCGGTGAGGCAGTTGTTAGGGACCTCCTGAACGCCTGAAACTGACGACTAGATAACTGGTCAGCAGCTGTATTGTAAATGCCTGGTATGTGGTAATATACCAGATTAAAAAATTGGTGACAGGCTTCCCCTACGTTAGTCGTCTGATGAATTCATAATAAGGGATACAAGACCGGACTTGTTTATGACATGGCCAATTGACAAATTGTCAGAGACCTTGAGCCGGTCTGCTTGCCCATGAATGACCCCATGTTGCTGCTGCGGCTATGATGGATATACCTTGAAGCATTCTGGGTTCTTAAGGAACCCTTCGATCTTACTTACTTTCCCGGCCACCTACCCATAGCCAACTGTCCCGTGAGATTAAAGCAAGCCCTGTGTGAGCTGCTGCATCGGGATGACTACATATGTAAAGACATATATATGTATAGGGAAGAGACACCTAAATATATTGTGCCTAGGTGAGTTCCCGCTAGGCGTCCTTCCGCTAGAAGAACCTGCAATATGTATGAAGTATGTGGGACGTTTCTAGTTTACCAGCGGGAACTAATTTTGCAGATCACGTAAGTGTCTGTGATTGGAGTTGTAAATGCCGAGAAAGGGTCGTATAGGGAGGATTTGAGTGGTCTAACGTGACCTTGGTCATATGTAATTGCCTCCCTGTTGGCCAGAATTGAGTCATAGTGGATTGTTCGCAGTGGGTCATATGTAACGTGAGAGTGATGGCCTAGTGAGGGCCATATGTAGAGGCATGCCGTGGTAGGTTGTGACAAAATTGCAAACTTATGTCAAAATTGTAATTCCTATGCCGTATGTAATAGCCCAAATGAGGGGCTGCCATTATGCTATAGTGAATAGCCCCTTGGTGGGTCATATGTAACGTATCAAGAGAGTGTGGTTGTGAATACAATTGGCCATGGTATGATAAAGTCATGGTTGCCCCTGTAAGCTGGAATTACTTAACAGCCTAGATGCTGGGTAAGGCTGTACAAT